TGCTTCCCTTTTTATAGAGAATTCTAATAAAATAGAAAAACTAAATGTTTAAGGGGATGATCAAATTATTATGGAAAAAGAAGTGAACAGTAGGAAGAAATGACAAGAACCAAGAGAAGAAAAATAAGGGAGAATTAAAAAGTAATCGACGATCGAAAGTTGTAGTACGAAAAAAAAAAGAGTTCCAGATTGATATTTTTCAAGACTGCTTGATGAACTACAAAGTCGTTTACTGGAGTCCTCATTTGAAATTCTGCCCTACTCAATCAAATGGCTATGGAAAGCCACGGCTATAGATCGAAATTACTATGGTGTCAACACAAAAACTATCAAGGTTGCCTCAGCTCCGCTATTTTTTTTTTCGAGTTGAAATACTAACATTACAGTGTTCAAAGAAAGAATTACAACCTCATTCTATAGGGTGAGCAGGGTGAAGCAAGAAACATATTTTTAGTTCGTTAACAAGGCAAATTTTTACTCATTTCTTTACAAAATATAAGCGGTCATAAAGAGTATCAGAGAATTGATTAAGACACTATACAATGATTTTTTGGCCTTAAATTAGCCACAAGTTGTTCGTTGAGGTCAGCCATTCGTTGGTGATAGGGTGTAGAATTGTTTTCTTGGATAGAAAACTCTGAAACAATTTGCAAATAGCCACTTGATTGCAGGCTTTTGGCCTAATCGGCATGTAATTTGCATCCGCACAAGCTCATATACACCAGCGGAGGTACGAATATGATTAAGATTATACGATAAATAGAACAGATTTTGATACAGAATAGACGAGAAGTTGACGATAGAAGTTTTCTTTCAAGGTTAATCCGTTGATGCGAAGACAAGAAGTTCGTGCCCTGCAGTAACTTGGCAGCTGATTTTGATGCAGCGGAGAAAACGCTGTCGTTTTTTTAAAACAATTGCGTCTTAGAACGATTTGAATGCTCTATAGGCCGAAATGCTTACTCACTAAAGCCTTACCTGCATCCTAAAACTGATAAAATACTTCATAACCGCTTCATTCCTCGTCTTCCTCCCATGTTTTATCTAATATCTGAGGGTGAGCCTCTAAGCATTACATCTAACCCACTGCAGTCGATCGTTAATCCGACAAGCTTATTCCCAAAACCGAATTCCACTTGACCTCGGGAATTTTCATCAAACCGCCGCGTCTTCCTTTGAGAGATGTGAGGCTGTTAGGAAAAAGATTCATTCAATACAATACTGGCCAACATTTCGGAGGTTATTCTTCTTCAGAGCCAGGAAAGATCGGACTGACAAGAGAGTTACTCAAACAAACAAATGCATAGCCAAACCAGAAAAAGACTAATACATAAATCTTATTTTAGTAAGAAATTGCCTCTTTTGAATAATCATCGTTGTGTTCTTCTTAAGTTTTGACCACTGAGATAAGGCAGAATTCGTGCTGAGACCAATCGTACCGGCTCAGTCACCTTAGATAAAACGCTAAAAATGGAGCTAGAATTAGACCGTAGTATCAGACGAGTTCATTGTACGTTCAGAAACAAATCGAAGTCCCGGTTAAAGGAAAGCAGAAGAGATGAAATACTATCTCAGAAGGTACAACGGCGGCATTAATCTTAGAGATCATTTCAGCATGAATGTCGCAGGCTCCAAACGTTTCAATGACTCCTTCGATAATCATGTGCTGCTGGGAAGAGACCAATATGTCAAAATGTGTACTGAGATGTATTCATTTCAAAAAATTGTAGATAGCTACAAATACCGAGAACTAGTTGGAAGAGATAAGTCAGAGAGTAAGAAATATTCAAAATAAAAATCTCTCCCTCTAAGGAAATCCCTAAGCGTAGTAAAGAAAGTAAGGAAAGCAAAAAAAACCTCCCCAGGAAAAACATTGATCTCGTGAAATGCTTCTTCACCACCACTGCTCTATACACTTCATGTGAAATATTTCGTCAGCAATTCAAGCGATTAGAAAAAACCAATACATTAACCCGAAAATGCAAAATACTAAATGCCATCAAAATTTTGCAGAATTAAACAGTGACGTATGAAACTGCTGTTGGATCAGCGAGATATCGCCTTGAAGAAAGAGTATCTGTGAACTCTGCCATTGTCCTGTAAATTCTGGACTAACTAAAATGTTAAATGGTTATCGGACGACAAAGGGGATGTTACAAATGATGGTAAGGTTGGTCTTCATAGACGTCGTTAATCATCCTTATTCTAAAAGAATCAGAAATTGTGAGGATTCTCTGCAAAACTCTCATTTATTTCGACGACCAGAGCTTTAAGGTGAATCAGATCAGCTGCTTAACTTTCATGGTTCCCTTTAGTCATAACAATGGACTTATTAATGCATTAGCTGAAAAATGGAAAATGTTCAAAGAAGGTCATGTCGCAGCTAATGGTTGGCCACATCCATTTTGAAAACGGGAGGATAGCCAAAGTGAAAATTATGATAGCCAAAGATTCATTTTTGAGCCATGCACGTCGTCTGGTTTGTTAAAAAAGGGCTGACTTATAGAGCCCGATACACGTGCACTGGCCGCGCAGTCCCGTCAGCCGGGCAGCTATACTTTCTCGCCTTTTGCCAATCCTGTGTGGGTGCTCCAGTCCCCACACTAAGAGTTAGCGACGAAGAACGTTTTACACTCTATGTCCAGTGAAATTATCACCGAACACAGAGTGTTGTAAACCCGATTGTTCTTAGCTATTCAAAAAATCATATTATTCGCTTCGAGTGTTTTCTTAAAACCACAGCTCAAATGACTCAGAAATGAATCTTTGGCATACTGAAATTTGAGCTGTGGTCTTGAGAAAACACTCGAAGCAAATGCTATGATGTATTAAATATACTAGATAAGAGCAATCGAGTGTACAATACTCTGTGGTCGGTCATAATTTCACTGGACATAGAGTTTAAAACGTTCGTCGTCGCTAACTCTTGGTGTGGGGACTGGAGCACCCACACAGGATTGGCAAAAGACGAGAAGGGGTACCTACCCGACTGATGAGATTGCAAGGTGTATTTAAGTCAGCACTTTTCCAACAGACCACACGACACGCGTGGCTCAAAAATGAATCTTTGGCATATTGAAAATTGAACTGTGGTCTTAAGAAAACACTCGAAGTGAATGATTGTGATAGCGCTGTTACGGAACCATTTGCGGGCGATTAAGATTATCGTAGTTTTTTCAGAAAAGAATAAAGGATTGCAGCTTATCCAGGAATTTTTTGAGACTTTGAAATCATGAAGTATACGGTCTAAGTGGCTTTAGATGATTTGTAGCTGAGTCAATAGTTGTAACAAGGCTATTGAAACTCTAAAAATACAACATAAAAGCGCTTTCTCCTTTTTCATAATCCAAAAACTGGAAATAATTGTTGACTAATCTATTTGAATTCATTGCTAAAGCAAATCATCAAAGCGTCGATGAAGAAGTCTACTTTCAGGGACTCATAATTTCCGTGAATATTATTTCTCAGTATTATCATTAATTATCATTATACTATAAGCACATAAATATAAGTACTTGACCATCTGAGTACTATCACTGACAATCATTTTTTATATGAAATGACCTGAGAAAAATAAAGAACATTTGGGAAAACTGTTAGAAAAATATTTTATATAGAGACAAAGAGAATTTTGACAGAACAGATAAATTACCTAGTGACAAAATGGGTAAAAAATGTTAAAAAATACTGGGAAAAAGCTATTCTTCAATTCATCGCACGTCATAGAAAACTCAGTAGCCATAGAGAACCCACCTGCACGTGAAATCAAACTCTTCTGGCAAATTTTTAGTTGAATTAGAGTGCATCACAGTGTATAGTAGCGTAAATTGGAAACTTGCGGTGCAGGCGATGAGTTGATCTGTTCGTCAGATTTGAGAAACACTCAAATATATAAGAGTAGTTTGATAACGATCCCCATATATCCTGTTAAATGTGAAATATTCACAATCGCTAAGCTATCTGGCCCGTTTTCACACGATAGCGATGACTAGGTCGTTATAAATGCATATCAACAGAAAATGAACATGATACCCTTACGACTAATGTTAGGGAGATGAGCATTATGTTTATGCTGGACTGGACAGAATTGCCGCCTCAAATGTACTTGGATTCAGCCAAATAAAACTTTCAGCCACAGCTGCAATTCAAAAAATTTAAAAAAAAAAACGAAAAAGGCTCTGTAGTGGACGACTGCAGGAATTGAGCTTTATGTCCATGCCACGCCACGCAATTTCCAATTTAAGTACGTAGATTATATGAACGCCCTGCAATTACAGTTATTAATAATTGGAAATTATATGGAATGTGATCGTAAAGAGGCTGATGACTCTAGGAGATGAGCTTCTTTTGCTTCCTTTACCAGAAACTTATGTTCAAACTAATGAACTGAGAAGTTTATAGAAGATAATCCATATGATCCGCCGTACATAAATAAATCGTAGCATAACCACTCATAGGAGAATCCGACAAGCTAGTGGTTATTTCGCAAGTACATCCATTTTTTCATGCTAGAAAATCTGCCCGATCATGAGTTCGTTACAGAAAGAAAAAATGAAACATCAAAAATAAAACACCTCATTCAAAAAGTGTGTAATGTTGACCGTGAGAAATATGCCAGTAGTGCAGTAATTTTGACAAAAAAAATCGAATAGACACTCTCGAATGTCATCCAATGGATTTCATACCTTTTGTGCCAGATGTCATTGATTGATGACATTTTGTTCACTAAAAATCAATCAGTGTTTCAATTTCTGCTTCAAAATTTCGATTAATAATTCAGTAGAAAAACGATCGATAGAAATAGGTGGAGTTTAGTTTTTCTGCAAATGTATTTTGAGCACTTATAGCCTTTTATCGTTAAAAAGATTTGAACCTTATAAGAGGAGAACGATTCTTTCAGGGAAAGAGATAGAAAACAAAGAGAATTACGCTATACTATTCCACGAGACTTTCATACAGTACTGTTCCATCTAAGAAAATTGAGTGGTGGGCAAAGATACGACCTCGGACGGGAGTCGAACTCACGTTTCATCCATAGCGGGGTCGTGTGCTACCACTACACCACAGAGGTACATTTGCCGACACCACTCACTCTTCATTATATACCACCAAAACAACATATCACTGCGAAAAATACACTGAAAGTACCAGAAATTTCTAGTACTGTATCATCTGTGAAACATTTGTGCGTAATTATTGTCAGCAGAATACAAAAGGATGTTAGTGTTCATAGAACGCGAGAAGGCCGAGCGCCCGACAAGCCGTCATCTCTACGGACGTCGCGATGGGAGTTCAAGGGACTTTGTCGTCTATGATCTACCTCCCTCACAAAAAATATTTTCATATACTCAACATTTTGATAGCCATGTATCCGAATTTCCGGATGTGCATTATTGATTGCAACGCCTCCCAAATTTCGTCCTTTTGTGAGTGTTGTTTCTGACCTATACTTCCTTTTCTAGAGCAAAAGAGAAGTCTCAGAAGCAACTTCGTAGCCACATCCGAAGAAATTAGTTCGTTGAGTCTTTTCTGATTAGTGATTACTGAAAAAGTAATTTCGGTGCACAGAAATATCGCGCTCCAGTCGCATCGAGCTACAGTTGGACGTGAAAACTCGGAGTTCCATAGTGTAGATAATCAGTCACAAAAAAAGTAGCAAGTATTAAGATGCGGAAAATCTGCAAAAATATTAAATATGGATCGTAGAATTTTGCATCACAGTTTCTTGATACTGCTATAACTCGCAGTAGAATACTCTACAGTGAGTTGTGAAAACGCAAAAAAAAGTGGCATGAGCATCGTGTAATTCTACTATCATTTTATTTCCCACCGGGGTACATAATTCTTGAAGTTGGCTTAGCGAAGTGTCAGTGGTTCGTGTGCAAAAGTTCCAAAACGAATAAAATGAAACTAAACTCCGCAACATAACCTCATGTCGGTTAAAACAAGAAACCAATAAATTAATGATTATAGATTCTGCACGTGCATCTTGCAGAAGTTCTTGCGATCGACTATTTATCAACCTCGGCACTGTATAAAAGCTTATAGTTCTTTCTTAATGAGCTAAAGTACGAAGACGTTATAACAAAAAGCTCCATTATGTATACACACATTTGTCATATGAACCACGTGTTTTGGCTTATGAAGAAAAAACTGTGAATCATAGTTATTATGCCGATTAATGAAGTTTCCGAATGTAAATGACGTCGATTTTTACACCGAATGCTTCCTAGATAGTCGCTCATAACAAATGGCCGATAGATTTTCATTCAATCGCTTATTCTAATCGCGCAAAGATTATTCTCGAAGCTGGAAAATTCTCTGCCACGGTTCTCTCAGGGGTCATCATCATAGGCAGTCTCCATCCCAATAGTTATTGTTGAATTTCTTGAGACCGATTTCCCTCCAAGGCGAGATTGATGGCGCACTCTTAGTTGCGACTCAGAGCGGAAATCTCGAAATCATATCGGCTTAGGTAACTCAATTCAGAAGAAGAATACTTTGCTTTACTTCGTAGTTGGCAATATGGTATTATCCTAATGTCACGACGAAACTGGAAAATTGTACGGATTTTTGATTACTGCATTAGACTGTCACATTGAGAGCTTAATAAAGTCACTTAGGCTTCTAGAGGTCGGTAACCGACTGGCGAGTGATGCTCAACGCGGCTCGACGGAGAACCGATCCCCCACCTCACCAATTTTTCGTAATCAATAACGAACGCCCCAAGAAGCGTATCAGTCTGGCTATCCTCGAGGGAGCAAGGAGACGTGCTCATCCAGTATTCTACAACGTTTATGAAGAAGAAAAATCCTTAATAAAGAGACAAGGGAGAAAATGGATTGAATGATAAAAGTCTGGGATCCGCACAATGAAAAAACTGTGATACAGATTAAATGAAGTATCAAAGTAAATAAGGTTAGTACGTGCTCACATGGTGTTCTCAATTAAACTGCTCTATACTTCTAAGCATAGATCTATCGAAAACATTTGATTAGATTCAAACCGTCAAGCGACAAATGAGGGAGCCCAGAAGAAAGAACCAATAGAATCGTATTATCGCAATAAGTCTTGGAGGAAGAAAGATTTACGAAAATAATCGTCGGAATATCATCTATTCGTTGACAACAATGAAACGCGTACTTTGTCACTTGTCATGAAGAACGTCATAGTGCGCTGCTTACGCATGTAACTTCCTGGTTCGAATCGTGTCAAAAGTATTCAAAGAAATAACTCCACAAATTTTGTTAAAGGTAGTTGAAGGATAAAGGGTAAAGCTCTCGGCGTTGCTCGATCCCTGAAGAATGTGCCACGCATTACTCTTCAAATTTTGACTTCGTTTGAGGTGATTGAGTGCATATCTGGCCTAATAACTCACGATGGCCTCCCGCTGACCGAGTCAGTGCTGCTTGTCCTCTCAGACAATTCTGAGACTAGTCTGGTAGCGATTCACCGACCCCGGAGAGGTGGATGACTTGGTGAGTCATGAGCGCGAGATTGAACCATTGACCTCGTGTGCGACGCAGAGCAACTCCAGCAACTGAGCTACATGCGCTCAAAGCATGCGTAGTCGGTGAAATGCCCTAAGATGTCTAAAATAGAAATGTTTTATTAAATTAAGTAAATTGTTCAGTTATACCTAGATATATACCAAAACCACATCATTATTGTCTTGCCAAGGAAAAATCAATATGTTCAAAGAAATCAAGACGAAATATCAACGATGAATTTATTTTATAGGGGAAAAAGATTTTTCAGATTGTTCAATCTGACTTTAAACACAATCTAATCAAAACCCACAGCAAATGAGAGAAAAGATGCAAGAAAATCACCTAAAATTTGCTATGCCCTAGAAAAAAACAAACAGTCACTGAAATTATTTATTTTTTACTACTAAACTATTCTAATTTGCTTACTACTACTTATTACTATTACTTTGCCACCTATTTATTTCAGTTATTATTTTCAACATTCAGACTAGATCTACTGAAGAGAACAAAAACTCCAGTTGTTCAATCCTAAATGGAATTTTGAGAAATGATTAACGCAATTGATGAAGAGGCAGATGGCGCCGTTGATCCGTTGTGGGAAGCTCTACTAGAACCATGGGAGATTTTCGGCTAACAGATAGGATTCACTTGATACAGGAAGTCAAGAGTTAAAGGTGGAAGAATGATGTGGAAAAACTCCGTAATCTCTTGTCCTTTTTTTTCATAAATACACTAAAAAATGGTCAGTTAATGGAAAAAAGTGTAGTGTCACTAGTATGCGAAAAAACGATTTACACTAAGCGGTTGTGGCACGAGATGAGGATGAATAGAATTTACCAATAAAAGCGTAAAGCTTTCGGGTTCAATGAGTACCATGAGGATATAAACAGAGTATGTGAGTCCGACTCTTTTCCAAACATCGTAGAGGCCATTGACTTATAGTTAGTCTCTGCAATGATTTATGCAAGCCTATTGATGTGTCAATATACTATACTGTACAAGTCTGGTCACCATTTGAACGGATACCAAAGAGACAGAGAACGTAGTTTACCATGAATGCGTAAATAACCACATGTGTGTGTTGCAGGTCATCTTCAACCAGCATGTTACACTTAATTAACTAATACTTCTTCGGATTACTCTGTGATTAGCGGCAGCTAATAGAGGCTTGATTAAAATCGACTCTGGTCTTTTCAAGGGCTCAGAGACACTTCATAAATTCTCAGTAGTGAAGTCGAAGACGTCAATTGAGCTCTAATAACACCCTGACAAAATTCTCAGTAATACAACTAAACAACTGTGAGACTTTCTGCACGACAAAACGTAAAAACCTTAGAAAAAAGACTGGATGAGCACGGTGAAATTTATAATTGCTATTAGTATGATATTTAGTTGGAAATCGTCAATGATGGATGGTTTTATCGTTAAAATTTGCGTTTTACAAGGCTGATTATTTGATAACTTTATAAAAGACACCTTATTCAAACGATCTAAGCAAACAAATAGCATTTTAGAAATATCTTCATATTTTTTTTCCAAAACTGTTTCAACGTCAAATCCGCAATAAATCAGAAAAGTAATTCGTATTTTTTCTAGTTTATGACGAAACGAAAGTATAGCAATCACAAGCATTGCTTGACAACGTCGTATCCGTGTTATGAGCTCTAAAAAAGCGAAATTTTCAGTGTTATTAAAGGATAGATAGGGCACATGTTATTGGTAAATAACGGTACATTTTACTGGTCTGTATATCTATTGATAAAATTCATCCGAGATCAGATATATTAGTTTGAAACAAATGGAATGCAACTATTCTGCGATACACTTGCATTTAAATCAATCTTAAGAAGCGCCCTTATTTGAGCTACCGTGAGATTCTCATTTCTTTTAGATCAAATACGATAGCCGACTTTCGGTGATTTCGCTTTTCTCTAAGTCGTCTAAGTCCTTATATGAAATGATATCACCGGTGCACTCCTCATACACCTTCATCAACTATGCTATAGTCTTTTTCTACGAAAAAAGAAAGATTTTTTCTCTATGAGAAGCTGCGATTTTCAGATGGAAAATCAAAGACATCTGCGAAACTTCTGAAAAATCGAGAGCATGTGAAGGCGTCAAAGAAGAAGTTACTCGAAAAATCGTACCAGAGTTCTTTCTTTGTTCGTTCGTTAGATGACGTTTGCCAACTGAAAAGCGGAAAAGTTCCAGAAAGAAAAATCAGGGCTACTTTGTCTGTTTCCAATCAGAGAAAGAGAAAGAAGAACAAAAAACAAATAAAAGCGACAAGCAGACATCTCACCAAGGGTTTTTCTTTATACCTTGAAGAATCGTCGAAGAAAATCGATAACCAAAGTAGGAAGAAATTGCCTACAATCCAGATTACATGGATTCAAAACGCTACTAAAAATCTCGAAGCCTTCATTCTTTTCCCAGTCACCGTTTAATTTTTCTTTCATCTTTCGAAGTCTTCCACATGTAGCAGAGGAGGAAAATAAGCAGCAAAAAAAAAGAAAAAAAGGGAGGAAAATGAACAACTGGTGATAGCGTACCTACAAACGCCTTGTCGAGATATATTGCT